TGGTCATCGGCTATTTGCGTGTCGTTCTCCCGCCGAGCGTCTCTGTTGTCATATAAAACCATGTAGCGTGTCGACATGTCTCAAAGAGATGCAGAAGACAGTTGAGTTCTATCTCGGATCGCGGCTCACCAAATCACACGCGCCATTTTGTGCGGGCCGCACAAAGCGAACAACACGGTTCGGCACAGCTCGTGAACAACAGGCTGTTATTCTGTACTACTGTATGATACACTGTATCATACTGTATCAGATACGGTACTTATCAGCAGTTGATTCGATATCAATCCTGATTCAGAATCAGGATTCTTGAATCGAAATGGTAGAGGGTCAGCTCGAGTAGTTGGACTTTCCAGCTCGGAAAGTCTGTGCCTCATCTTTTATGAGTCATAGGACTCACATCAGTTTCCACATTGTGGGATCCACACTTCGACTCGTCTGTCTCACTGTATCAGTCGCATTTAGAGCTTGGCTTCCACTAACACTGCTAAGTCGACAGTTGTTCTCCCTCCAGTGTGCGCTATGTGGATTTACGCCTACCTCTGCTTGCCCACCGTCGTGTCGGCTTCTTTTATGCGTCCAACCACCTCGGCCAACCATCTGGAGTTTTACAAAGAAATGACCTACCCCTGGGTTGACAAGGAGGCTCCCATATGCTCCAACCAAACACTATGCCCTCGAAACCCCAACTACACCTGGGACGATTACTTCGATTGCCTCCTCAATAAGGGCGTCAAGAATTTCGTGCTCGGCGGCCTCATGATGGTGGGGAGTGACATCTGGTTCGTCATCGAGTTCAAATCACCGAGCCGATGGAGTAAATCTGGGTTCATGGCTCTGAGGGAGAAAGTACGAGCTCGAGGTGGCAGGATACTGGGTGACGTGATCGATGCGCAATACGGGTATGGCGAGCCTTTCAACAAGACGCGCTTTCGCCAGAATGCTGCCAAGTTCGTGGAGTACTTCCCCGTCGACGGCTTCAGGATAGCGGATTTCCTCCCCTATTCTGATCAGACCCCCCAACATGTGAAGGAGGCCTTGGAGGCTATCAGTGAACTGAAGTTGATTTCTTCGATCCGGTGAGTCTTACGGTGCATATAAAACTACCAGTAGACTCTCGCGTGTGTAGTGGACCGATTGGAACCACCAGCCACCGTTGGGTTGTCAGGTTGACGCCTGAGAAGTTAGATGTGTTCGCGAAGGCCAAATTGGGAGG